ACATTAAATGACTTACACACTTCACATTTTATGTCTGTAAAATTCATAAGTTCTGCAGCGCAGGCTGTTGGTTGCGTATCATTTTCTGGATCAGACATGACACTCTCACTTTCACACTCACTACCCGCTGGACTTTCAGCTGCAACACCCTGATGGTTTGGTACACGATGTGGGCATTTATCTTGCAAATGACCAATTGAATGGCAGAAACGACAATCAAGTGGGAAAGCACCTGAACGTAACTTGTTGGCTTTTCTCCTTACTATATTTTGAACATGTTGTGGAAATTTGGGATTTTCATCACACCATTGCCATCTACCATGTTCCTTTTTACAGTGGACGCATGTCACTAGTGGGCCCTTATCTCTGTAGGATCTTCGTTCTCTATGCTCTTTAAAAGGCTTTCTTTCTCCATCCTGGTGGAATTGTCTTTTCTTGTAGGTCGGTTGTACAGCAGCTCCATAATTTAAGTCGGTGCTTTTACTGAAAGAAAATATGTTCTTATGCGCATTGTAGTAAGCTGTTCCTGTTATATCCATATTCTTCACATTGTCTGGCTTTTGTTCGATTAGGAACGTCATCATGCTGTGAGGCACGCTTGATAACACTTTATCCCTAATTAGCAAATCTTTAAGTAGTTCAAAGGATTTTCCCACTTTAGCTGATGCAATCCATTTATCGAAGGTGTTTTCTACATCTGCTACATAATCGGTGAATGTCTGTTCAGGTTTAGGTTGCATATTCCTGAAATTGTTTCTATAGGACTCTTCATCCAAAGCAAAATGTTGTAGAATTCTACGTTTTACATAATCGTAGTCGTTCAATTTCTCTTCAGGCATAGTCTCTAATAGTTTCAAAGGTTCGCCACTAAGGTGTCTTCTGTATACTACTGACCATTCAGTCTCAGGCATATTTGCATGTTTTGCCATACACTCAAAGTTTTGCGTCCATGCCGCTATGGAGTCTCCCTGGCCAAAATATTTAATTAGGCCTTGATATTTTTTGAATGATGGTTCAGTTGCTTTCAATTTAGCTTTTTCCATTTGAATTTCAGCATTTCTGTCCAATTCCAACTCTTTAGCCCTGAGTTCCATTGCCAGTCTTTCCTTCTGTAACTCAACGTTACTCATGGTCTCTTTATCCTTCATTATCATTGTGTGAGATAACTCACGTTCTTTAATGACCATCTGTACTCTATCTCTCTCTGCTTGAGCGGCAATTTCTTTGTCTCTAGCCTCTGCCTGGGCAGCTAATTCCTGTAGTCTCAAAGCAGCCTCCTTATCTTTCAGTTCAGCTTGGGCAGCTAACTGTTTTTCTAAAGTACAAGCTTCTATTTCTTTAGCCTTCTGCATAGCCTCCAGTTCGAGCTTTTTAAACTCTCTCTCGTCTGCCCGATCTAGTCTCTCTCTGAGATCTGTATACTTTTTATCGGCCCATTCCAAAGCCTTTTCTCCAGTCAGCCCATGCTGTCTGGCCATTTCAATAAACTCGGCAAGAGATGACATGGTGTATTCGTGTATAATATCAAGCAAACAAATCAGTACAAAATCAAACCAATACCAAGTATACAACTACAACCACAAACTCACTGCACAATCCTATTGGAGAGGGAGAAAATAAAAATCGCGAATATCCGAACTACAGCCGGACCTGTAAATGTAATCTCGAGTTAATCCGAGAACTAAACATCAATTTACAGTGTAATATTCAATAAAGAATATCACAAATCACATCATCACAGTAATACGACAACAATTGTAAAACAATTTGGATGTACACAGTTCGAAAAATATTGGATCAGGAATCCGAAGAATACTTCTTACAATTGTAGATGATGGGTGATGACTGATGTGTGTGCGACAAAAAAATTTTTTTTTTTTCAAAACACAAAAACAACAATAGGACTGATGAGAAAAGATAGACAAGAATGATAGATGATGCACGGCGCCGATCAACCAACTAGATCGAAATGGAATCTCACGGACTGGAGAACTGACCAGGACACAACCACCAAAATCAAAACAACAAAAACTTATCTGCACTCCAGTCTGGGAAACATGGCCGCCAAAGAACACGTGAATGTTGATGACACACTTGATGATGACGAGGACGACAGGCCTCGATGACTTCTTGGACTTGCACACCGCAACTTGTAAAACAATCACACTATGTCTATCTGTCTATGTCGTCCTAAATCCCTATCCGTCGTCACGACACAATCCTAACACATACAGTTATTACCTCTAATCACATACAGTCATGTTAAACAACAAACATGTAGACGGACTAACAATAAATTCCCATTTTACCTATCAAAAATATTTACGGAAAAACAAATACCTAACCTTTCCTATCAGCTATTGACTAAGCACGTTGGGTTCCCACAAAATCCACGGTAAGAGCTCCCCACTTTCCTGTCAGAAACCTAACTGTCTAGGGCTCGATTCCATTGGCTCTGCTATAGGCTAATGACAGGAAAACACCGTACAAACACACTCAAGCCAAACACTTGTTGCAACACACACACAATCTTTATTACCAAAGATGCAAACGAAGTGGTGGTACACCTCAGGAGGAGTAGCGCTCCTTATTCAAAACCCAGGCCGCGTCTAACTTTAAAATCGCTTAGAGGCGCCTTTACACGTTTATGAATTAAGCTCTGAGCCGCTACCACTCTCCCGTACAGTGCCAGCTCAACCCGCTATATCTCGATGCCAAAGACGTTATGGCATGCGCCAATGTGTAGGCCTAAGTGCGTCGACAGTGTTAACGCCACCAGCAAAGCATGGTCTGGCTTCTAGTTACAACTATTACTTTACATGAAACTATGAACAGAACACGTTACATCTAATCACTACGCTGGTACCTATCTTCAAGTCAAAACAAACGGTCAGTCAAAAAATCCACTCTCGTCCCACGTCCAGTCTCCTAGCAGTCCCCCAAGCAAGCGTTCAGCGTCCGGTCCAAAATGTGCACACCCGTGCGAAGTCCGCTCATGCTCGTTTCTACGTGTGTATGCACGTATTGAGTGTCACTAAGGGTCGCAGGGTACGATGACGAGATTCATCATCATCATCCTGAACTGTCCCATAGCAGGGCGAACCCTGACAAGTTTTTCCTCTTGGGTCATGCATCTGCTTTTGTTTGCCAAGCCTATCTCGTAGTGGAGCGAGCTTTTCACAGAACGTTATTTGGACCATCATTTATAGTTTTAAAATTTTGAATATTTTACTTGACAAAAAGACCTTAAAACAGTTTTGGGTTTATCATCATCATCTACCAGCAAGTCCCTTTACAGAACGTCGCTCTCGTCACGGCACGCGCAAAAGTCTTTCTTTCTGTAACCAATTCCCCAGTCCTGTGTGCTTTAAGGTCAGCTATGAGAATAAAGGGTTCTATTCCATTATATCCCCCCAAACAGACAGTCGAATATTTTAGGGGATGGTATATAGGCGGCATGCAGTCTTGGGACCGGGGTTGCATGCGGTAGTGGGACCTAGGCTGCACTCTCTCGTGGTAGGTAGGTGGATTTAGGTTAGGACTAGTTTTAGGCGTTTGTGAAAGTTAAAGGCCTCAGAAAGCCGGCAAACCCGCTCTTACTACCCTTGAAATATTAGACTGTTCCGTGACGTCATCCTGGGGTCGGGTGAAAACGTGAGGGCACCGAATAGAGAGGGGTGTCTGATATGGATGTGTATAGTCAACATACAATGAGATCTCCAAAAAATTTGACAGGGATCGTGGCCGTAATTATAAAATAAATAATGCCTTATGCAAGTGACATCGTCAGTTTAGTTGACCAGAAAAAAAAAATTAGCCTCGTGTTAAATAAAGAAGAGCACTGCTGCTGTTTGTTCTGGCGGTGTTGAACACTACGTGGGACATTTTTAGGCATTTTTTTTTTCAGTGCTAATTTACACAGACACTTTATGTTGTGTGAAAGATTTTAAAAAAAATTTGAGACTCTAAAAATGAATAGGGTCACATTTTTATTTCTAGGGAAAAAACCTGTTAGGGATATATGACCAGTAGCAATACTAAAGAAGCATATCATGTTTAACTTTACAATTACCTCAGTGATACTATAGGAATAC